CACAAAAGGCGCTTAAGCCATCTGAAAATCTAGGGAAAATCCTGAATACACATATGATTAAACTCTGTCACCACCACTGTCAGTCACAAGAGAAGCATCACTGTCATCATTCCTGCCTTATATTTTCACCCATTTTGAAGGAGATAATTTCAGCCTGCTCATTTGTAATGACAGCCTCTGGAGTGACGAGGTATCATTGTGATGCTTTGCAACACAATACATCCTGATTCAATCTCTGTCTGGACCTGCAGCCTGAAAAAATTACATGCTCATTACTCTGACATACAGGTGTTAAAGGTCGAAACCGTGACTTCAGGCTTTAGCACAATCGTATACAGTGTGTGTGTGGTGTATTATACCTGTTAGAGTATATTTATGTAACCATTACTTGGTTTGCTGATCAACAGAAAGTGAATCAGTAGCAGTTCTGACTCTTGTTTAAGTTATTTATTAGGCGAAAAAGTCAAACAGTTGCTGATTTTAGGGACTTAGATAGTTGACATAGTGTCATTTCTGAAAAAGGTTTATTTGAAAGACATAACTGAAAAAAATCCAAGAGAAATTGAAAGCAGAAATACAATTAGTTTCAATCCCACTGCGACTGAAAGGGCTCAGTGTGTCATTAGTTGGTTTCTGTCTGCTGCTAATTCATAAGAAAACCAAAAGCTGTCCTGTTCAACGAGTTTACCGAGCTTGTGACCAGTTTGGAGCATCTTTTCATAGCTTCAGCCCTGTTTAATCCACAGCAGGCACAGTATCGCTTCCTAAAGCTCCACGTCCCTTAAGCCCTCCAGGGAGGTGCTGCTGCTTGAACCCTGACTCACCTGCTTCATCTGTTTGTTGTTGTGTTTGGTTTGTGCTGATGCCGCACAGAGACATCCCTGTACTGTATGTTCACTGGGTGGACACGATGACTAATGATTGTCTGGTTTAGACACCAGAAGGCTTTGAATTTATTGTGACTTGGCGGCCATTCAGGAGGCACCCTGCATATATTTGTGTCCTCTTATCAGAGTGAGACGTCTGGGCGGGTGCCAGCTCCGTCCCACAGCGTCGTCTGTCCTGACTCAACCTGCTAATCTGCTGCAGCCTGAGTGCAGCTGTGCCATCTCTGACTAGACCGAGTGTGACTCTGCTGCTTCATCATTGCGCTGGCAAAGGACAGAGCTGCAAAGCATCAGCTTGGTGTTTTTTTTTTTTGTGCAACCAGATGCTACTGTGGGGTTGGTCTCTGATGGCATTGCTTCCTTCCCATTTCTGACTTCAACTGATCATAAGTTTCTTTTTCTATTTGCAACATAGACTGTATTTCCCATATATCACCTGCTTACAAGAAGTCTCCAGTCGCACTAGGCCAGGTGACTAGTATGTTTTGCGGCACCTCCCTCAATTGAGAAGAGGATTTACAGATCTATTTTTATCTAATGACTGTCAGGTGAGCTCGGTTTCATTTTTGAGATCACTAAGGGTGATGCTCAGGGTTCACGGATTGATTTCAACACCCAGTATTCTCCTACAGTGTATAGTGTATTCCACTGTAGCAACTGTGTGACACACGATTTAACTTAACTTTAAATTTACATGCGCTTGATGGAGGCGCTCAGTCTGTCATGGCCTAATCTGCTCTCTAATTAAATTTACACTCCCGGTGTCTTCTACTCCCAACTTTGATGAATGACTTATTTGGCTATGAGCAGTTTCTTCTCGAGTGAATCCTGCTTGTGTGTGTGTGTGTGTGTGTGTGTGTGACAGCACCTCACCAAGCAGTGTGAGTTATGGCATTGTATCGTGAGGGAGGGAGAGCCATCCACAACCCTGGGACTTCTCCCACCTGCTGCCCTTTGTCTCCCCTTCTCCAGAGACCACATCTGGTTTTTCTGTTATCTCAGTTTTTCTGGCTTGCATTTTCGGCCCCTAAAAGTGTCTGAGTCAGCAGAAACCCGAGATACTAAGGAGCTCTCCTCTCAATGCAGGCCTTTATCATTCTTTACCGGTCCTCTCATCTGTGTCTGTTTCTTCTCTTTTGAGGGGTGAATCTTCTGTTGTGACTGTGCCTTTACGTAGACAGCAGGCTTTGTAGACCTGTTCGTCTGGATTTTAATGACGACTGTAAAGTGCGCAGGCATTGTGAAGTTGAAGGTCATACTTGGTCCACATCTTGCTTTTTAAAAATAAATGAATATTCAAGTTTGCCTCTGACAGGCTGCTACAAAGTGTGGAAAGTCTTTAATGCAACATTCACATGCTCACATGATTGCACATGATTGTATTTAACTTCCTCAAAATGTCACACTGTCACTTACAGTACATTCCTCATGTGGAGTCATTATGCATGCGTGGGCAACTAATAAACCAGAGAAATGACTGACGTGCTAGTCTCCTCATTAGAGCCCCAAAACTGCAGCAGCACTTGTATTTAACATGAAATTAGTTTTAGTCCTGGGGTGGGTTACACCTTCTGTTATGGTATATGGGATTTTATATTACGATATATGTAGGACTGCAGCAAAAATCTTTTTTTGTTGAATTGGTCTGCAGGTTATTTTCTGATATTCACTAAAACATCCATGTCTATGGTGAGGTTTTGTCTTGCTTTGTCTGACCAGTTGTCCAACATATATATTGTTACATAATGTCAGAGAGAGAGAAAAACGGCAAATCTTCACAATTAAGAAGCTGCAGCTGACTGACTAATTCTTTCAGTTTGTAATATGGTGGATTTTCTGGAAATTAAACTGAAAAACTATTAGCTAAAATAAGATGGGATTTAATCAGTTTGATGCAAAAATACATTTACAGTGCGGGTACAGTAATTTCTCTTTGGAGAAGTGCAACCAGATTTTTTAAACTAATGGCTTTACTGTGTGGCAAAGCTCAGAAGGCTGATGCAATGCTGTCATCTCCCAATACAGTTTCTCATATTGTCCAACCTGAGGGCAGTCTGGGTTTGTTCAAACTGTTACACATGCACTGACACCAGTGGATATGTGACCCTGAGGCCACCAGGCGCTGAGAAGCTGGTCATCTATCTCAGGTCAAACACGACCGCGTTCGCTGCCCCTACTGTGGACGACTGTGTTTGCCTCAGGACTGTGGAGGATGCGTACTGGCTTTCTGTGCAATTGTACTCTCACGCAGAGATATTTGAGTATGTGACCATGACCGCTGCACACCTACATTTAGGTGAGAGCATTCCTGGTCTCTCTCTCTCTCTCTCTCTCTCTCAGGTGTCGCTGCCAAAGGGTACACCGCGTTTCTGTGCCAGTAAACTTGGTTCACT